ATCAGTAGCTCTGTGTTTGAGCACAAATCCCACCTTTGATCTTCCCCACCTCCCAGTTCACCCGGGCTGATCCTCCGGTGTGAGAGCTTTCCAAACGAGTCCTCCCAGCCCTCCCTTGTCCTGCCCCTCTTCCTGCTGCTCCTGGCACTCATCCCATCCCTGGGGATGCTCCCTGTGTGCTGTGGTGCTGCTGCTGCCCGTGTGGCTCTGCCTCCTTCCCTTCTGTGTCTGATCCCTGCCCAGGCCCCCAGAGCTGCCCCAGATCCCCATCTCTTCATCCTGCTGGGTTCCTGTCTGGTCCCCTTGCCCTGCCTGCCCAGGCCCCCAGAGCTGCCCAGATCCCCATCTCTTTGTCCTGCTGGGCTCCTGTCCCGTCCCCTTGCCCTGCCTGCCGTGCCCTGTGCAGGTGCCCATGCCCATGTCCTGATGCCCCCTCTGTCCCTGCCCAGGTGGCCTCACCTCTCGTGTCACCCTGTGAGTGGTGGCTTTGCAGCTAAGCTGGGCCTCTCCTTCCTGCCAGATCAAACTCACAGCATTTGTGGCAGCAAACTTGTGGTTTTTGTGGGCACAATTTAATGTTTCTACATCAGTTACTGGGGTGCTTCTTCCAAGCTACATTGCAGAAGACATTGAGTAGGGAAATGCTATTTATTATGCCAGTGTCTAGAAATACATTGATGGAAAGTGGATCATGTCATACTACCCTGACACATTTGCTGTTACAAGATTAAAAAATTATTTCTTAGGCCTTTAGTGTTGAAGAGAATCATTCTTGGAGTTTAATGTTCCTGTTGGTATTAATGATGCTGGCAAACATGCAGCTGAGGAGTAAAAGGTTGACTTGAACCTTAACATGTGATTTATTTTGCTGGCTTCCCCAGATTTGAGGGTGTTGTAGACCAGGTTTACTAACTGCATCCTACTAGATTGTTCTCCTGCTGCTGGAGATTAATACCAGGTCCTGATGTTGGACACTCTCTGGGAGTCCACTGTGTCTCTGAAGTATTACTTTTGGGTATCTTGCAAATGAATGCAGAATAAATAGCAAAAAGTAATGAAAACATTAATAATTTTAAAATAGCGAAGAACCCTTTTTTTTTTTTTTTTTTTATCCCTCATCCTTCTGTGCAATGAATTTTTGCAGGGAAATTGGGAAACGTACTCCTCATTCTCTGTTTCACTGGCAAGTGGAAACTGTGTATCCAGCCGGCTTTATCCCACAGTACATCTTGTGATTACAATGAGATCTTAATTACAGGGATGTCAGAGCAGCACCTGGCATTCTGTTGTGCAGTGGGCAGGGCTGGGCTGCGTGAGGTTTGGGGAGGTCCTGTGGGCACGTGGAGCCCTGCCATCC